GGACTCCTCTTGACAGGCACCAGTCCTTGTTCCAGCCCTGTGTCCCTCCTGCATGTGAGGGGACTCCCAGCTCTGTCACCTCAGCACCCGAGGCACAGGCAAGGAGGTGGCAGTGCAGTGACACCCCCCTGGCCACGGGGCAGGTGCCCAAACACTCCAGGTGTCACCTCATGAACAGAAACCATCTGCCCAGAGGCTCCTGGGATTCACTGCCCCCTGCCAGCTGGGATTCACTGCCCACTGCTGGGATTCACTGCCAGCTGGGATTCACTGCACACTGCTGGGATTCACTGCCCACTGCCAATTGGGATTCACTGCCCACTGCCAATTGGGATTCACTGCCCCCTGCCAGTTGCATGAGCACACAGGAGGGAGCCCCAGGTTTGGGTGCAGCTCTCCAGGCAGGGTCTCCTACTTGAGGCCAGGTGCTGCTGGCTCTTTGTGCCAGCTCCTGAGGCCCATCAGGACAGGGGAGCAGTTTATCTTTGGTTCCTCCTCGCTGAGCCCAGGCTGTCACACCCAGAACTGCATCATTCTGAGGGCAGGCACAGGACTGTCCTTCCTGGCAGATTTCCTGGCTCTCATTGCTGTGCTCTGTGTGGGAAACGTGCCCTCACACAGGAGTCCAAGCCAGGCAGGCAGCTGGTGCTGGGGACACAGTGCTGGAGGCAGAAACCTGGGCAGGACACAGCTCATGGCACCAGCCTGGCTCTCCCATGGGTTGCTCTGTGCCCAGGAAACCCTTCCCCAGTCACTGCTTCAGCTCTGCAGAGCCATGGGCAGAGCATGATGTGCTCCAGCTTACACAATGCCACAACCCTGGCACCACCAAGTGAGGCAGAGAGGGCGGATCCAGCATCCCCAGTGTCTGTGCTTGGACACAGCCTGTGCCTGAGCCTCATCAGATCCCCTCTCATAAGGGGAATAAAGAGAAGAGGAATCCTCTGCCCAGGCACAGCCCAGTTCCAGGGGAGCCCCTGCACAGCTCTGCTGTCCCCCTCCCTCTGACCACTGTCACAGCGCCTGCAGCCCTTGCTCCAGAACGTCAGGATGGAGGAACCCTCCTCCCTTCAGCCCCAGGAGGAGGTGGCAGCGCTGGGACAGGCTGTGCTGGAGCAGGGGAGGTGCTGTCCCTGCCCACGTGCAGAGCCCGGGCTGGCACCTCCAGCAGGGGCACAGCAGGACCCGATGGAAGGCTGGCTCCGTGTGCAGCTGCCAGGGGGAGCCTGCACAACTCCTGCCCCTGTGCAGGGCAGGGCAGTGCCAGGGCCAGCCCCTGCCACACCCACAGGAGAGCAGAACAAGGTCCATGGCCTGTGAGCCTGGCACCGTGGCTGCCTCCTCCATCCCTCTGAAGGTTGGACCACAGAGCCATCCATCCATCCCAGGGGAATCTGTCACACGGCAGGCAGGACTTTGGTCAGGCCCCTCCCTCCTCCCTGCACTCAAAGCCAGGCCTGGAACACTTGCAAAGAGAACATGGAGGCTTGGAGCCCTGACCTTACACAGCACCTCTGCCCACTGCCTGCTCTCCATGGAGAGGTGACCCAGGGGCTTGGTCTGGGCTTTATTCACCTTGTGGATCCAGGAGCTCTAAACAAGCAGCTCTTTGGTGGGCTTGTTTGCTCTAGAAGGTGCTGTTACAATCAGTGGAGGCAAAACACACCCAAAATGCCCTGTGTAAGATGGTGACATCCCTGTGCTGGAGCCCTGACAGCCCTGGCTTCCAACCAGGGTCAAGCTGTGCCACCTCTGAGCCATGGGGACCTGGATTGCTGCTGCCAGAGCATTGCCATCCCCAAACCGAGGGCCCCAGTGCCCTGAGACATCCAGACCCACATGGCAGAAGGAGGCTGCCCCATCCAGACCCACATGGCAGAAGGAGGCTGCCCCATCCAGATCCACATGGCAGAAGGAGGCTGCCCCTTGCCAGTTAAAATCTGTCCAGGACTGCAGGGAGTGTTTGCCTGATTTATGATTAATCCATGAGATGCTTTAAGGTACAGCCAAGTGACAGTGACAGCCAACAAAGCACATCCAAGGCATGTCCAAAGTGCTGTTATGAAACACTTGCTGAAATATTGAAGGGAATGGCTTTCCCCAGCCTGTGCAGAGGGAGCCAGGCCTCAGCTGGCTCATGCTGGATGCTGTCCCTCTGCAAAGGGGGTCACAGTGTCCATGGGCATCACCCTGTCCCTGCCAGCCCCTGGCACTGCTGCCATGGCTTTGCCCAGAGCTGGACAAAGGACAGGCACAGCTGGGGCAGCACCAGGACAGGGACAGCAGCCATCTCAAGGCCTTTCCAGGACTCACCATGGGTTTGGTAGGAGCCTTTCTGTTAGAAACAGTGAAACAGTGCTCATGTTTGTTCCCTCTTCTTTCTTCTGCTAAAAGCTGGAAGCCATTTGAACCAGCAGCACATTGTGGCAAAAGCACCTTTCTGTAAAAACCCTCTGAAAAAAGCTGTGCATTTCCCCCATGGCAGGCAGCTGTGGTACTTCAACCCACAAAACAAACCCACTCACCTTCCAGGTTCAATGAATGCCCCAAAGACACCACCTGAAATACACATTTGAGAGGCTGCTGCCTTCCCCTGCAGAGCTCCTCTCCAAGGAGAGCAAGTCTCAAGGGCAGCCCTGCCACTGCTGCAGTCTGAGTGTGCACACCATCAACACTGGAAACTTTCACACCTGGAGAGCACTGGGCAATGCTCTGGGGACAGACAGCCAGCCCTCCTCATAGTCTGTGAAGCTTCCTTTGAAGCCACATCAATGCTTCAGCAGCTGCAGCTTTGTCACTGTCACCACACAAATTGCCAGAGAGGTTTTAAGCACAGATACTGAGCATTAAACAGCTTTTCTGACCTGGTGAGGGGCTGGCAGAGGACAGGAGAGGAGCTGAGGGGTGGGCAGCTGTTCAGCTACAGCCACCAAAGCATGCAAGCAGCTCAAAGACAGGCTGGATGCACTCTCAGCAGCCTGGAGATGCCCCACACCAATCTGCTCCTTGTGGACACCTGGCCATTGGCTCAGGTCACTAACTCAGTGACACAAGTACCTGGGGACATCAAGGGCATGTGGGAGCAGCCTCACCCACTCCTCCCAGCCCATGCTGTACAAACACAGGGTCAACCCCCCAAACACCATATCCAAACCAAATCCAAAAATCTCCCAATGAGGGGAATTGTGGTTTTTGTGAGATTCCTCAGTGTCTGAGTGCCTCCAAGCTGAAGCCACCCAGTTTTCCATGGTGAGCCTTATTGGGGATCTCACCAGCTGCTTTGTGTCTCACTTTTGGTCAAGGTTGGGACCTCCAACCACCTCCTACAGCACAAAGGGCCCTCGTCACTATGGACAGAAGCCTGGTGGTCTCAAAAAGAAGAGAAACAAGGGTGATTTCTGTTGGAGGCATTAGACAGCACTCAGTTCTAGGCTCCATTTTTGATGGTTTCATTGTTTTTCCTAAAACAGGATGGGAGAAGGTACAAACTGAGAGACCCTCCCAGCTCCTAATCAGCCTTCAAGAGCATAGGGCAGCATGAATCATGCTTACCCTGCAAATGGTATCAGCCCCTGTAATCACACAGCAGTGGCCTGCACAAACCAGTGCAAATAACTCCCACTTTGTTTTTAAAACAAACACCACAATACCTTCTTATTTCATGTACAGGCTGCTTTATCTTGAGCATATACATTTTGTTTCTTCTCACACCTAATTGATACATTAATCATTAGCTCCATGAAGGAATGAGCTGTACTTTTCACCCAGTTTGGCATCAACTAAAACTGTGACCTTAAGCCTGCAATGCCCCTCACTGCAGTGCTGCACTGGCTCCACAAGGACGGCAGTACAATGGTTTGGAGGTAAAAGCAGATGCACAGGCTGACCTGACTGAGCAATCTGCTGCAGACAGCACAAAATCATTCTAAGAGGTGGTGAGCAAGATTTCTTACTTGCTGAAGAGGAGAAAACAAAGCTCTTGGTGCAGAAGTGGCTTGTGATAAAACCCACTTAATTGACAAGAGGGAAGAGGCTTCTGGGTCCCTTCTCTGCTGTGCTCTCCCCCCCAGATGAGACTGGCATTAAGTAATACTCCTGCTCTGGCCAGCTGTTCCCATGGCAAAGAGCCACTGTGATAGCACAGGGAGGATTCTGGGGCTGCAAAGGCAGTGATTGATAAATTACTCACTGCTGCTTCCTCTCTGTGCCCCACAGCCAGGGGTGCAGGTGAGGGGTCTGTGCTGGCACACAGCTGGGCCCAAGGAGAGGAAACTTTAGGGCTGTGGGATTTGAGCCCTCCCACCTTCAGAGGGTGGTGGGTGCTGGGCTGTGCCCTCCCCTTTGATCAGGACACCTTTGATGCCAGATCAGCCCATCCTCTCCCAGGATTCAGACTCAGACATCACCTGGGGGTGGTGATGATGCCTTGGGAGAGCCCCTGAGCTCCACAAGCTCCCCCAGGAGTCCTGCACAGCCCAGGGCCAGGCCTGGGTGTCTCAGGTATGGCAGGAATGACACCCAGGCACAGACAGGCACAAGGGGCAGGCTCGGTGCCAGGGCAGCAGCAGGGGGAGGGCACAGCCCAACACCCACCACCCTCTGAAGGTGGGAGGGCTCAAATCCCACAGCCCTGAGGTTTCCTCTCCTTGGGCCCAGCTGTGTGCCAGCACAGACCCCTCACCTGCACCCCTGGCTGTGGGGCACAGAGAGGAAGCAGCAGTGGGTAATTTATCAATCACTGCCTTTGCAGCCCCAGAATCCTCCCTGTGCTATCACAGTGGCTGTTTGCCATGGGAACAGCTGGCCAGAGCAGGAGTATTACTTAATGCCAGTCTCATCTGGGGGGGAGAGCACAGCAGAGAAGGGACCCATAAGCCTCTTCTCTCTTGTCAGTTAAGTGGGTTTTATCACAAGCCACTTCTACACCAAGAGCTTTGTTTTCTCCTCTTAAGCAAGCAAGAAATCTTGCTCACCACCCCTTTGAATGATTTTGTGCTGTCTGCAGCAGATTGCTCAGTCAGGTCAGTCTGTGCATCTGCTTTTACCTCCAAACCATTCTCACCCAGGCCCTTGGAAAGCTTTTCTGTTCAGGATGGAGGCCAAAGAAGGGAAAGTCAGCACAAGGGATGCAGAAGTGACAGCAACAGGAAATCAAATGTCCCTGAGCCCCTCTTGGAGGTGCAGACCCAGAGCTGCAGGAGGAAGGACCACCCAGCCACAGCCTCCCACCTCTCCTGGAATAAACCCCTCACAGGCAGCAAGTGCAGAAGAAGAGATTTCAAGACTGGGGATCAGGGACTGAACTTTCATTTGAGCTGCCACCAAGCTGCTCTCTGCATGAGGCCTCTAGGGCACAGATGAGATCTCACTCTCTTGGCAAGGAAGGACTTTAATTGTTCTTTCTCCTCTCTGAGGGTCTGTGCTCATGCCTAACAGCCTCAGGCCTGTTGTTTCCCAGCCCCCCAACTCCCTCCTGCCCAGAGGCTTTCCCTGTGTGCAGTCTCTACCACACCACACTCAGGTTTCAGGAAATACCTCAGTACACTCCTGAAACAGATACCAGAGCCAGATGGAAATTCAATAGCCCACTTCCAAGAAAAAAAATCTTCCAAAGCTGCAAAATGCTCAGAACAAGTTTCCCAGCTCCAATCACAAGTGGCTGCTGCCAGAGCCACCTGAGCAGAAAGCAAGTGTGTCAGGAAATGAAAACACCAAGAGTACAGGCAGTTCCACCTGCAAATTCCCTCTGCCACCAGACAGACACTGCTGACCCAGCCCAGATTTCAGAAACAACTGATCTACACCTACTCTGACCAGGTATCAGACCTCTCCTCTTCCATGGCCTCATGCCCGGGTTCAGCAGGTTTGGAAAATTCCTGCCTTTGTGTTCCTGTAAGGCTGAGCAGCTCTGACATTCACCCCAGAGAGCTGTTCCAGCTTTCAGGAAGCTGAGCAGGCCACACATTTCAGGGAAATCTCTGTGCAGGCAGCCAAGCCAGCACTTTGCAGAGCCAACACTGCCCAGGGCAGAGCTGTTCCCCTCTCACAACCAGCCTGGGAGCCAGGCATGGGTTAGGGCTCAGCAGGAACCAGGCAGATTTTCCTGCAGCTGAGCTCAGGGCTGGAAAAGGTTTTGTTTCCTCACCTGAACACACAGGGATGGGATTAAGAGATCTTGGAGATAATGGAAGTGATACCAGTCAGCATTTTTGGTGTATCAATGTGCCTGGGAGGGGTTCAACCTCTCTGAAAGGCACAAGCATTCCTCACAGCAGTCAGCACACCTTCTGTAGAGTGCTCAGGTTTGGGCAGGATGTCAGCAGGCATCAGCTCTCCAAAGCACAAAAACCCCAGCACACAGGTTAGAAAGTGTACAGGAGACATGTCATATAATAAACAAACTTTCCCTCAGCTCAAATGTACAATAATTCAGGGCTTCAGATTTTCAGCCTGCTTCTAGACTACAACAGAGGAGAGACATCTCCCAAAACTACAGATTTTGAGAACTTCCTCTGATTTTTTTTTACAAATCAGTAAAATCTTAATTTACTGTTAAGGCAAGATGTTTTTTACTTAGTCAGCTGCAGGGCTAAAACCAGCACAGTCCTCAGCCTGTGTCAGTGCTTACAGTGAAAATCAGCATCAGCCCTAGAGTTAAACAAGACCTGGCTTGGAGGGATTTGCACAGCACAAACTTCATCTTACAAAGGTCCTGCAGTTGTGCTCTGGGACAAAGCCCATTTTAAAGCACAAGGGAACGTGCCCCAGTGAGATCCTCCCTGTGCAGCCCCACAGTCAGTGCAGTGCTGGGAAAGGCTGGGCACAATTTGCTCCTCACCCAGCCTGGTGCCAGCTGACCAGGACTGGAACAGCAGCCTCATTTAAATCAGCCCACACTGGAGCCAGCCTTGGCCTCCTGAGACCAGTTTGTCTGAAGCATGATTTCAGATACTGGACCTGAATTGGGAATAGCTTTCTTTGCATCAGGTTTGATCAGATTACTCCCTCCTTGGGGGTGAGAAGCAGTGAAGGTGAGCTGAGACAGCAGCCCCAGGACTGCACTGTTTGCCAGCCAGCAGCCCCTGCTGTTTGTGCAGCCAGGGACAGAGGGAGGGATGATACAGCAGTCCTGGAGCAGAGAACACTGGGGTTTAAAGCACACTGAAGAATGAGAAGCAGATAAGAGGACAACTGCCAAGTAAGATTAAATTTTTTCTTTGGCAGGACTCCAGCAGCTGGAGATGCAGCTCCTGAAGGTACAGGAACAGTTAAAGTAAGTGATCTGGCAGACTAAGAAAGGATCAACAGACAGAGAGAGAAAGGCTGTGTCCAAATTAACTCCTGCTGGGGAAGGCTCAGCTCCAGCTGGTGTGGGAAGCAAGGGGGCAACCACTGAAAGGCACTGGAGAGCCTCAGCAGAATGACTCCAATCCCCTCCTTTCCACACAGGTAAAGAGGAAAACCCATGCAGGGATTTTCAGTGCCTGTATCTAGGTGACCTGCTTATCCTGCAGCTGGGCAAACATTAGGAGGCAGACAGCATCACTGTGACTGCGACTCTTATCACAGCCAGCTTTGCTACAGGTAATCAACTTCCAGAAATAAGATTTCCACCCTGTGTGTACAATGGCTCAGACACAATCCTGAGCTCTGTTTGCCTTCAGGGCCTGCTGACAGAGCCTGGTTCCCTTTGGCACAGCATGGAATAACCCCATCCATTACATTGGCTTCTATCAACGTGGAGGGGGAGGAGAAATAAAACTCCTGAAATTGCTAGCATCAGCTTCTGCTTTTAGAATTAGTATGTCACTTTGTACTTTGGCTCATTCCACTTCTTTTTAAAGCATACCTTTATCAGCTGCATTACATTTCACCTCTAATTTACATAGACAAGAAAGGACCAGCTGAGCAGTCAGCAGTTACTGTGGTTTCCTTACGCCAGCTGATAGCAAATAATGAAAATACTGGTGGGGAAATATCTTCTGGAATGAGGTATTTTCTTCCTCTTAGGCAAGGCTCTGCTGTAAAGAAGAACCTGCTGCCTACACAATGCTGCACACAGGAACCACATTGCTAAAGCTGTGTGTTCCCCAGCTTTGCTCTGGGGCAGGCACTGTGTGGCACATCTGCCCTGTCCCAGGAACTGTCACCCACATGGACTTTGTGGGACAGACTCGGAGCCAGCCCTCAGCCCTTGCAGCAGAAAGCTGCAGACAGGGATCAGCAGGTCAGTTCCCAGAGCTAGGAAGCTGAATCAGACACCCTTAAGAATAATGTCCCCCAGGCCCAGCATACACATCACCACCTCTAAAGGCAAAGGGCAAGCTGTTTATTGCTAATCAACAACAGCCAAGTCAGTTGCCAGCCTGTGGGAACCCAGGAAATTCCTCTGCCTGTCCTGGAGGGCTCCAGCCCTGCCCAGGGGGCTCAGAGCCCTTGGCACAGAGCCCAAGACCCTTTGATTTAGCCCTTGGAAAAAACAATTACCAACCTTATATGAAGAATTACAAGACACAACAGTTTAAGTAGAATAATAGTGAATTTATCATGGTGAAAAATAATTTTTTTGGGGTTTTTAGAATGAGGGTTCAGGAGGCAAGATGAAGGAATCTGGGCATGTCCAGCCTTTCTCCTTCTTCTTCTTGGCCTCCATCTTCTGCTGTGATGGTGGCACTTTTAGATTGGTTTAGAGTAGAAGCTCACTGTCTAACATAGGTGATAGGTATTGGGAAGTGATTGTAAATATTGTACATGTAGTTTTTAGTATAAAGACATAACACAGCCTGGGGGCAGGCAGAGTGCCTCTGTCTGTGCTGCTGGATGGACCTCAGCTGGACAGGAGAAAAAATTTTATAGATAAGGAACAATAAACAACCTTGAGACTGAGAACTGAAGAGCTCTGACTCCTTCTTCAAGCACCAGGCTGGGAAAAGAGACTTTGTGACACATCTTGGGGTAACTGTGAGCAGCAGAGCCCCGAGACACCAGCCCTAGCAAGGCGTGAGACCTAGGGTTTCTTTGGAGACTTTGGTATCAGTAACCTGGTGAAGCCTAAAAGCCATCCATCCAAAAAACAAACCCATGAGGGCTTCTGTGCCACCTCAGCCAGTCACCAGTGAGTCTCCAGCTTGCTGCTCCTTCACATGGAAAAAAAACAAATTTGCTTTGAGGCCTTTCACACCCTGAGGCAGCTGGGGTGACTCTGAGGGGGTGCAAGCTTGTACTCATCCCCTCTGGGAGAAGGGGCCAAGGATCACTGGGATCAGCTGCAGTGTCCCTGCGCCACAGTGCCCTATGGGGGTGGCACATGGCAGTCATATGGCCACACCACTGTCCTAACACAAACCACAAGCTGATTTCTGCAGCCCAGACATCCTTGTGGTTGGCTAATCCTGCACAGACAGTCCAGAGGGGAACACACGTGTTCTGCTTGTCCAGAGCTGCTCTGGACTGCAGCTTCCTCCAACAGGCCTTTAGGTTTGTCCCCCTGTCCAGTGGCACACTGAAAAGGTGGTGACATCCCTTTCTCAGCTATTTGTTGCAGAGTCACTGCTCACTGAGCAGCAAGAACTTTCTTTCCTACCCTTAGCAGCACTGAGGTTAAGCTGCTTCCCTGTTACACCTCAGATGCAGCTTTAATACACAGAGTGAGGCATGTGAGGATTTTTGACTTCTCCAAGGGCCAGGTGGACAGCCTATGTCCATTGCTACTCCTGACAGGCTACAAATTAAGATGAAACAACATCATCACCACAAAATGCTAATTTACCATCAGGTTCTGAGAGCTCAACAGTAATTATTTCCATCTGTGTGATCCACTCAAGACCAAAATATGATACATAATTACTTCCATACATTAGCATTAGCACATTGGCTGTGCCCTACACTTTGCAGTCTGCCCACACAGTTTAATAATGGAAAGCAGAGAATTTAAAGTATAGCAAATTTCCTAATTTTCACTGTGGACACACATTTGCCCAGAAACACTAATGCACTACCTGGAGTAGCTTGATTCATTAGATTAAGTAAAGTCATGTAGGAGAGCAAAACATCCGCTCTGAAAGGAAAGCATCCACACAGCAGCTCTTCCAGATAATTGTCTGGAAACACCACAGGAACTGACAGGGCACATGAAATCACACTGGACCAGCCAGGCTGTCTGCAATGCCTTGATTAAATTTAGATGTCAATTTTTTATATTAGGAGTTCAGCCACACCAACAGATACATGGCATTAGTGTAACAGATTTATAAAAAATTAGCTTTTTTAGAGACATCCACTCTAAACTAGACACTCCTGGGGATCTTAAACAAAGCCCCTTTGAAAGCTCTTTTACAGTGTCAGAGCACAAAGATCAGGTTCCAAACTGGCCAGAAAGGAGCAAGGGGTGGGGGGGAAAGGCTGTTTAACAGGAGGAGAACAAAGAAAAAGAAAACTTTTGCAGACAAATGCAAAGTTTTAGCCCTGACTTCACTTTGCAGACATCAATAAATGTGTTTAAAATAAATATGTGCCATCCAGAGGGACCTGGACAGGCTGGAGAGTGGGGGGCATGTGAACTTCAAGAAGTTCACTTGGGTAGGGGCAATCCCAAATCACAGGCTGGGTGGAGCATGGATGGAAAGCAGCCTGGGGACGACTTGGAGCAGGGTTAGAAGGATATTGGGAGGAATTTCTACCCTTTGAGGGTGAGGAAGCCCTGGCACAGGTTGCCCAGAGAAGCTGTCCCATCTCTGGAATTGTTTAAGGCCAGGGCCACTTTCCCTGGGGCTTGGAGCAAACTGGGATAGTGGAAGGTGTCTCTGCCATGGCAGGGGTTTGGGACAGGCTGATCTTTAAGTTCCAACTCAAACCATTCTGTAATTCTATAACTCTTTTACATCTACTTCTGCAAAAGCAGAGCAAATCAGAGGCTCCCAAGTGGGTTCAGAGAGCACCTGTAGCTGCAGGAAGGCAGTTCAAGGACAAGACTTACCAGAAGGTTTTTGATTTATGGGTTAGAGTGCTGCTTCTGCAGAGCTGGAGTTGTGTTAGCTTAGGCTTAACAAAATCAAACCTCCTGCAGAACAAGCCTGGGCTCTCAGTGAAAGAAACTCAAACATTTCACTGCTTGTCCCCTCCAATTTCTTTGTGCTGGTGCACAGGTTTGTGAGCACAGCAAAGGACATTCAGTGTATTCAGTTCCCTGACCCAGTTTGATAGGAGATGCTTCAAGCTTCCAAGGCAGCAGAGCTGTCTCAAAGCCACAGCCCCTGTGTCCCCTCAGCCCCTGCCAGCACATCCCTTTGTGTGGCTACAGCAAGAAAGCAACACTGGCACCAACCAAAGATGTTCAACATGGGAGACAGGGAGTTGTCCCCCCCCCAAGAAACATCTCTTAGCCACCCCAAAACTCCAGGGAAAACCCTGATTACACTTTGAGTCCATATGGTGAAGTGGTCGGAAGCATCACCATGCTGCTGCCTCCTCCTCCTCCTCAAAGGCAGGGCTCTTGCTCTGTTACAGAGGAAGTTGAACTCATGATTTGACCTCAGTTTAGTTTCTTTTTCACTCACACTAATTGTTTACTGCTTCAATTTGGGCCCTCCTGATAGACCCACACCAGACTGTTCAAACCCACTGAACAGTCCCACCTCTCTCAGGTGGGATTAAAGGATTAAAGGACCAGAGCTTCTCCTCCTTTCTGTGAGGAGAAGGTCTGGTCCTTTAATCATCTTCTCTGCCTCTGCTCTGGCAATGTGAGCCTGCAGCAAGCCCCAGGAGAGCAGTGGGTGCCAGGGCATACCAATGTGCCATATTGTGGCACACAGATGGATCAGCCAGCTGCCAGGGGAAGGTGCACCATCCTCCCTCCCCTCCCCAGAAATCAGGGTTTTTCCACAGAATGGTAATAACTTCAGGAAAAACCAAAATGCCCAGGAATGAGCAGATCACTTGGACAGATACTGATGGGCTCCAGAAAACTGAGGCTCATTAATTCAGTAGGAGTTGTACATTTGAATATTATAAGCTTTAACTATGCAGCCTTTGGCTGAAACATATCAACAGAAGACAGGTGGAATGAGAGCTGTGGCAAATCTAAAGGCTGTGCAACAACCTCAGCATAAGGATTCCCTTGAGGAATCAGCAGTGAGGATGCTCAGCAGTATTCTCCAACAACCAGAGAGAGAACTGTGAGAGACACTACAGCAAAATAAAGCATGAAAACAAGCTGCAAACAAAAAGGCCACTTCCAACAAGTCCCCACCCCCTCCAAGGCCAGCAGGGCCAGGTGAACACTTTACTTCAAGGTCAGTGTGTCCCTGAGGCGGTGCTGCTCAGCCATACCTGTGTTTTTCGGCCCATCTGCGTACACTGGTCCTGGCGGTGGTGGAGGAGCATTCTGCCATCCATACTGGGGATATCCCTGGTAGCCTGGCTGGCCTGGCTGGTAGGGCCCGGGGGGGTAGCCAGGGTAGGGGCCAGGGGGCGCCCCTGGCTGCTGGGCATAGGGTGGGTACGGGGCGGTGGGGCCCGGGCCGGGGTACGGCGGAGGATTATCGTAGCTCATGTGGGATGCACAGTCTGGCCTGCAAAAGAGGGAA